AATAAAAATAAATATTAAAAAAATAAAACGTTTATAAAAAATAGATAAAAAACATTTTCGGTTTCGGGCTGACATTTTTTTAATTTCGGTTTCGTTTCGGTTTTAAAATTTATATTTCGGTGCACCTCTAGTTAATAGCCCGTACAGCAGCCCTTCGGTTCTACTGAACTGAAGGGGTCCTGGGGCCGAAGCTTGCCGAAGCTACGGCTAGATCCCTTGCCAGCTTAATGAACAGACCCCTATGTAACTATGTAAATATGTCACATAAAATCCAATCCAACAATGGTTAAATTCAGCCATAAACAGCCAAGTCAATTAATTCACAGAAAATGTTTAAAAAGTACCATACATGTATTGATATTCAGATCTGCATGTACATTTAAAGCTGCAAGGTCACCCAAAAAAATCTTAGTGGAAGTTCCCTGCAATAGAAAAATTATTATACTTACCTATTCAGCATCCCATGTGTTCAGTTTTTAATATTTTTTGGGTTTGTTAGATGACAGTGTCCTCTGCTGTATGTTGTAGTTTTATCCTCTGACTGACTCCTACATCACTACAGGGCACAGCAATGATTGAAGGGTCAGAGGACTGAACCAGAAGGTTCAGCAGAGAAATAAGGGACTATCATAACTGAAAGTGTGTAATGCTAAACAGAATAATGGAGGCTGTAAAGCTTGAATGGAACAATGCAAGACAAGGGCCGCCAGAAAGGTGAGTATGATTCATCTGCTATTGCATGGAACTTCCCTTTGTATAATGACTGACACGGTTAATAATGACTGTCACTATTAATTAACAATGCTGGAAAATAGCCAGTCTGGCAACTTTTGCTCAATGGTTACTACTTTGCTAAGCTATTGTGCTAAGTTCTAAACAGGTAGACACATGCATGGCAAAGCTTTCCATTGCTGTCTTCCCTTCTGAAAATACTAGTTGCCTGACTGTTAAGATAAATTAGTGGTGTCAGTACTGATTCACTTCAGAACAAGTATGCAGACCAAGAGTTCCACATAGACCAACATACAGTATTTGTTCCCCAACAGTGGCTCAGTAAGTATTAAGAACATTGAAGCAGAATAACAGCCAATTAACTAGAATGGTCAGGTCAGGAATACCAGCCTCAGCATTTTCCTTGGCACAACCATCCTTTTTGTACTCCAGGTGGGGCAAGTGCAGGAGTATATGAAAGGGGGCTCCTCTGCTTGTCAAAATGTAGGTATTTTGTACGTGCTGCACTTTCCTAGCTGTTACTTTACAGTTCACTTTTAAATTAAAAGGAAACAACAATTTAAAGTGTATGTATACCCAGAGAACTGGGATACATGCTAAGTAATAACAGTCAGCACAGGCAGCAAGCACAAGAATTATTAGCTCACAAAATTCCTAGCAGGATTAACATGTATTTTTTGCATCAAACCAATATAACAAAATGCTTTTATTTGTATATTTACCAGACCAAAAAGCAACAAATTAAAGAAACGCATACGATTATTATAGGGTTTAATATGGAACCTTTTAGAATTATGTGAAAGTTTTAAAAACTAAGAACACTTTCTGTTTAAAATATGTTTTACATAAGAATGTTGTTTGTCATTAGTGTTGGAAATATTCTGAAAAATATTGTTGTGCATATTTATAAGCACACAAATGAGAACATCCAATGGCTTATCAATCCTTAGTGTAAAACCAGAGTGCAACACATTCACATTATAAATAGACCCTAGTCAAGCGTTGCCTTAATTTAAAATCACAGTGCGTACCAAATCTTTGCTTAACATTCAGCTTGGTTTAGATGGAGAGATCTGTGTATTTTTGTACATGATATTGAAGATATTTTCATGCAAATGGAAGATTACATTAATCTGAGGACCCTCACTTTTGGTTCAGTTAGCAATCACAAGAGAATCAGTAGATAATTTAATGAAATAAATACTTTTTAAAACTCTAGCAATTTTTTTCACTTCCTCTGGGGTTGACAGGTAGCTAAAAAATGAAATCATATGTATGATGTCAATCATCCCTTTGCTGCAATACAGAATATTAGATTTTGCATATAATGTCATCCTTTAGAATATTCTGTCAGTCAGTGGAAATAACTAAAGGAATGCTTACAATAAAAAAACATGTATTGTTATATTCATTTACT